CAAGCAAATGCAATAAACTACGGAAGCTTGGAATGAAGCAATCATGCAGTGCAATTCGCTCCCGTCCCATACCATACGAAAACACAATACCCAATAACCATTTTATTAAAGGCGAAAGGTAATCACTATAGCCTAGCTATTTTGCTTTTCAACAATTTAATCTTGCGAAACACACGACCCGCTCGAGTAGAACATTAACAAAAGTAACAATGCTAAAACCAGAACGGGAATCATTCATGCGTCGCAATCTCAACTGAACTAAAATAACCGAAAGCGAACTTGACGGTAAATAACCCCGCACAAGGACGGAAATATACATCAAATGAAGATATAATGTATAACATACAACACAACTGTACCTAAAACCACAAGTGGAAGCGATCCTTAATTTAAACACACACAGAAAAGAGGCGGCCGTATTTTCCGATCAGCCGCCCACGAGTGGACCAGGCGCGGATCCAGCCTAAACCCTGACCGTGGCGCACTCCAAAACCGTCAATAATTAGGGGGGTCCGGGGGCATTCGCCCCCGGAAAATGTTTGAAATTTGAACCCCGGAAATGCCATTTCCTGAGTTCTGAGCATCGAATTCTATCATACAATTCGTCATTAATTACGCCATATTTTAGAGAGCAAATAACGAAACGCACTAAATAAGTCAAATATTTAAACAACATACCATGTTCTTCAACGTTACAACATTAGAATGTTACAAAATCACTGTACTTACATAAAACCACAACTCTGTACCGCATGTACTGTTCCTGTGTATTTCATGTTCTTCGTAGCAAAAAATATCCAATTAGGGCTGTACATCGAACTCAATCATCTTGGCGTTTCTGTTGCAACGCAAGTCTTTTACGGGGTGGGTTTTTTCAGCTGCACATGCATCGATACCAAGTGTCTTATTCTCGATCATTCGCTTAAACTGTGTAGCACGGAAAGTTGCCGTTGCGTGAACATTGGATTTTTCACCATGCTGATATAGTTTCTGGACAGCAGAAGCACTTGGAGGAAGAGCACTGGTCATCAATAGTTGGAGCTCGCTTGCATTATGCGTGCTTTCACTGCCAAAAAGAACACAAGTGACGCAAAAACCACCGTTTGCCACAGCAGAGTAAGCCAACCTTGGAAATTGTGATAACCATGCCAACCGAAACGTCTACCAATATTTTCGCGTGGAGGAAAAAAAAAATCAGAACCAGGTTTCCAATGGCAATGATTGCACAGAATTTCGTACGTTTTCGAATCAGGAAGACTGGACACCAGATTTACGTACTGTAGTTGTAGATATCATCTGGCCACGAATTGGTGGAAGTTCGTTGTGTTTTGGTGTTAGATTTTTCTGAAGTACAGTAGGACCAGTGTTGGGAGTTACAGATGAAATTCCTTTACTAGTGCTGGGAAATTTGATTTCACTGTCTACAGTTTCTTGTGTGTTGCACGCTCGTTTCACAAGAAGCGCACCGATCTAAGCCAATTTGTTTTCTTTTTGGACCAGTCGTCTGCTTTTTAGTAAATGTAGTCACTTGTGTAGAGGAAGGAGCAGAAATAACTTTAGTAGAAACTTTAGGAGAAACTGTAGGAGGAACGTTAGGATGAACTGGCATCGCAAGACTTCAATAAGGTTGGAAGGTGTGCTTTAAAATAATGGTCTCGTGGCTGAAGTGCTTTAACTGGTTTGCACAAGGTAACAAAATGATTTTTGGTAGATAGAATTCTTCCATCAACCAAATAAGACGGTGGCATCGCAGCACATTAGCACAATGAAAGATATGGACATATTCAATTGCACTGCCATCAAGATAATCCCGTAGATATACTGTACTGTACTGTACAATTGAATCCAAGGAATCCCAATTTTCTTTCGCTACAGTATCATTGGTGAGTGGGTAGAATGACTGAATGGCACACTGAATTACTGTGGGCAAGGCAAACATGCACACCATGGATGAGAATGTGTAATTTTTTGCAGCTTCCTTTGCTTCTTCTAAAACTGCTGCATTTCATTACAATTCTCGAAAAAAGTAAGAGCTGCATCAGATACACACATGGCAGAGGCATTTTTAAGTGTAGTGAACGCTAGTATAGTATAGTATAGTATTTGGCATTCTCAAACAGTTCAATACTGGTGAGGCATCTCAAGTGAGCAGACAAACTCTCATTCCCGATTAACGCAATAGAACATGCATTAAAGAGACAATGAAGTACTGAAAGAATTTAAGCATTTAAGTATCAATGGTTATTTTATATTATTTTGTAAATATTCTATTGAAACTTTTAACCAGAATGTCAACTTCTTTGCACCACACAGTAATTATGTGATTATACTTTGCAAAGTTCGCTCAAATTATCTGGAGAACAAATGTTATACCTTGCCATTTGAGAAATAGCAAGGAACCATTTGTTTTCCCAAATGTTTTCCCTCCTTTTGCTTGTATAATCATGGGTCTCGTTCCATATAACTTTGTGCCAAAAGGATAATTACTAGAATTAGTCAGGGTAACCAATAGAACTAGAGTTGGTTTTAAGGTAAAGGACTGGAGATTAAATTTTGGAATCATTAATATGGAAATTGAGCCATAATCATAATTCTTTTAACAATGAGGCCCCCTACAATGTCTTTGTGTAATTTGAGTAACATCATGATGACATCAAATTCACAGCTGGCCTTGACTAACTCATGGGATTTTGTTGCAGTTTTAGATTCGGGATTAGGTTTTAATGTCAGGATTAGGATCAGGATGACATCATCCACAACAACATCAATATTCATCCACAACAAACACCTGTGAGGTAGTCACCCTCCAGGGGCCAGTTGTTAAAAATATTTGCTGTGTTGGTGTAATGTACTCTGGTGAATAAGATGCTTGTGTGATGTTATTAGAATGTTAGGGTTAGTAATCCAAGTGAAAATATATACATTTTAAGACCTAACCAGGAACAACTGCGAAAAATGCAGCACAGGGTCCTCTGGTAGGAAATGAACCTACGGCCCTGCGATTCCTACCAGAGGACCTGGTTAGGTCTTAAAATGTATATATTCTCACTTGGATTACTAACCCTAATATTCTAATATTAATTCCACCAAGTGAAGTGCAAGAATCCAAATTGTGCCATGTTACTCTGAGTATATCCACACCGGGCAGGCTTGAAAAATATGCCTGGCCACGGTGGGATTCAAACCTATGACCTTTGGCAAAGGCATTGGGAGAGCATTGGGCTAGTATTCCTTGGCAGATCATTGGGCTAGTATTCCAAAGGTTGTAGGTTCGAATCCCACTGTGGCCAGGCATACTTTTCAAGCCTGCCCGGTGTGGATATACACTCAGAGTAACATCACACAAGCATCTTATTCACCTGAGTACATTACACCAACAGTCCAACACAGCAAATATCATGATTATTAGATTACACTGATATCGAAGGAACTACACTCAGTTCCAAAGTATTGCATACTCAAACCGACCTGACTGCATAGCTCAGTTGGCAAAGCATTGGGCTAGTATTCCAAAGGTCGTAGGTTCCAATCCCACCATGGCCAGGCATATTTTTCAACCCTGCCCGGTGTGGATATATACACTCAGAGTAACATCACACAAGCAATTTAAAAATATTTCTTCAGAAATCTTGTCTGGATGAATGAAAGTTTTCTTCAAAGCTTCGAAGTAAACAGGCATGCAGAAACACACAAACAAAAACACTAGGTTAAATTTTAACCAAGGATTAGCCTTAGCTTAGAACAACCGACCCCTGGTCAACCTACAAATATTAAGGCGCTATATTTAAAGCTTGGTGAAACCAAATAGACGACTATATAGACCCAATACAGAAGTAAACATTTCATTTTACAGTCGACAATCAAATGTTGTAGCCGTAAACTGTAGCAAAATACTGATAACAGTTTTAAACAGAGTTTTTACTAATATTTCACGACTACATAGCGGATAAATGCAATTTATATTTTATTAACCGCCATGTGTTCGAGATCATATTACTATTTCACTAACAAAAATTTACATACATACAAATTTGCATGCACAAATTTATATTCCCTGACCCCAGCGTATAAAATGCAAATTTAATATAAGTCGATTAAAAATTCTTACCTAACAGGAACATTAGGCCCAGATCTTTCAGTTTGGCACTTGGAGAACTGCAGTTTTGAAAATTCGCACGTTGGCAGCACGATGTCGCCAGTAGATGCAACGGCGCAGCCTTTCTTCAGTGATAAATTCATCATATTGTTGCCTCAAGAGCGATAATTCCCCTGAAATATGTTCGCTTAGGTTTGCTTGTTGAAAGATTTCGACGAGCTTGCTAAGAACATCGACTTTTTTTAAAAGCTTCCATCCTGATAGCACCATGTAGCGTGTGATGTATTATTCTTTATCCCGTCAAGTCGACAAGTATCGAACTTTATTGTTGATCATTTGTATTGCGCAATCAAAACAGAGCCACCGTGGCAGACCGTGGCGCACATGACCACAACTTGCCCTGTGATTGGTTTGCAACGCTGCACCGTGGCAGAAAGTTACTATATTTAGTAACAATTGCGCAATTTTTTGCACGCTGACCGTGGCATTTTGTGGCTGTGATCGCAGCTTCGAATTTACGACTGTTTTCCGAACATATTCGGCACAATGCGGCACGCTTTCGGCGGTTTTTATAGTTCAGTGTTTAACTGGATAATTATACTATTGAACAAGGAATATATTTCGGAAGTTTTTCCTGCTTTTAGCACATATATATTACTGTAATATGAGAACAATTACGAAAGATATTATTCAAATTGTTTGCTATAGACCTATATTTGCTCAATTTTGCTGTATTTCAAATAACTAATATATACTTCTTAAAAATGCGTAAGGAGTCTAATGTAGTATCCAACAAAGGTGAACCCCGGAAAATCTTAGGTGGGAAAAATCTGACCGTGGCTCGAGCCACTTTTGCCACGGTCTGGATCCGCGCCTGAGTTTCTCACAGAGATAAAAAAGAAATATGCAGGTATGTATTGGGTTTTTTTATTATATAATGTTACATGTTTTGTATGAAATGTGGAACCAGTCGGTCAATACCCTGCCGAAAGTCGTGGGCTTTCTTTGGGTGCTTTGATTTCCTCACACAGGGGGAAGTTGACAGGGTGGGCAGGATAGTATGTACCTCTATTTGTGATAAACATTTGTGCTAATTTATTTATAGATGGTCAAGCAATAGCAAAAAGGATTGAAAAAGGAATTAAAAAACACACAAAAAAAATTCGGTGTTGCCTAAAAGAACGGGACAACGTTTGTAAGACGTTATATGAACTTGGTGATACTACAGAGTACATTACTTACACATTCCATGACGTTGTCTCTTCACTTCTCTTTGAACAACGTGGCATTTCTGAAACAAATGATGAAGGCACTGTAGCTTTAGCTACACAATCATTCAGGCAACAAATTATAGACTGTTACCATCTAAAGGAAAGGTGTTCTGAAGAAATAGGGCTCCTCGAAAATGAGATGAAAAATGTCGTAGAATTTTATCTAAATGACATAAAAATTTTACAAGGTGTTGAATCAGATCTTTATTCCGTGGGCGACATTGCTGTTGTAAGACAGGAAGCAGAACGACAGAAAATCTGTCTTGGCGTCCTTGTGTCACATTTTCAACAGTTTAGCGATGTGCAGGAACTTATTGATGATGAATTACGAATTTCTTATTCAATAACGGACAACTCAACAAGTTATGGCAGTGATAGCGACAATGTTGAAGAGAACGATAGTGATGATGATATGGTTTCAGCGTTTTAGGAACGAACCCGTATGGCTCCTTCCGTGTATTACTTACGGTATATGTACATTATAGTGTAGCGGATATGTGCACGGATGTTTCCGAAGAGGGTTAAAAGCACCAAATTGTGCACAGTAGCATCTTTTTATGAGTAGAACAACATGCAAAAGTGGGGCCATCGTGAAACTGTTTTTTTAGAGAGTTACGATGCTATTAGCATTATTTGCCTATAAATTCTACTACAACAAAAAATGTGAAATTTTGAATTCAATCGCGACAAATATAACTTGCATCATCAGAAAGCTTGTAAAAAACTACATATACTTGTAAACAGTTTTTTTATTCTTCAAATGGTTATTGCTGTAAATTAGGCACATTATCTCGCTAAAAGTTCCTAATTACTTATTATAGATGTTAGAAAATGCGTTTTTAGCAGTTTATAATTCAAAAACTATTTCAGAAATCAAAAAACTGTCTAAACGTCTTATATGCAGTTTTTTATAAGCTTTCTGATGATGCAAGTCATATTTGTTGTAATTGAATACAAAATTTCACATTTTTTGGCTATAATAGAATTCAATAGAAGAAAATTACAAATCATCCGTTTTCAGGAGTTAGCAGCAAAATAGCGATGGCCTCACTTCAAATATCTATTAAGCAAACAAAACTACATCAATTGTAAAAGTTTGATGCATTTAACCTCAACAGGAACTAATGATCAATAATTTTACACATATCCGCCTCACTATTATGTATAGTCGTAATATACAGAGTGTACCAAAACTGTGACTGTTATCGTGCGTTGATTACATTACCAATATCAGGCTTTTTTAGCTGTCAAATGACACCTTTATGGAATGATTGCGATAAAGAATGACCAAATGCGACTTGATTTAAAGATTGGTTGAATTCTCACTTTCCCACCATTGAGATTTAAATGTTCTTCCAGTTTTCGTACATATTTCCCCAGATGTTTGTGGCCAATTTGGGAAACGTATGCCATTGTGAGTTGCGTCCGCAAGCTCAATTTTGATGCTTATACATACGTTACGCATATTTACTTAAGAGATTTCCATTTGATTCCCAAATGCAGGAGAATAATTTTAATACTCGGACAATAGCTTTACATACATTCTCAACAGTGGAAAAATGCGATCTCGACCGGCATTTGGCTATTTTTGGATCGCAATGACATGAAAGGTTGCATTCGAGAGCTAAAAGTGCAGATCAGTGGTCTGAACTTTATTGGTATGAAAAACGTAAATGGATAAACGTAATATATAATGCACGATAACATGCAAAAGTTGGTTACCTGAAAAATATTAGCAGAACTTCGACATTTCAATTCGAAAGCTAACAAGATGCTCGGGTTTGTTCGGCGAAATTGTTTCTACCTCGCGAACGTTGACTGCAGACGTCTTCTGTATATAACTCTTGTTAGATCGCAGTTCTCTCATGGCTCTGAAGTCTGGACACCCCAGGTTCCATCTTCTGATCTGCTACGTCTTGAGAGTGTTCAACGTCGCGCCACGAAAGTTATTCTGCAAGACTACGAGTCGTCTTACTCGCGGATCGCTTAAAGAAATTAAACTTGATTCCTATCTCATATTGGCTGGAAATAAAGGACATTGTGTTCTATTATAAATGCAAAGCGGGGCTGTATGATCTTGACATTGATAAGTACATTGAAAGACCTTGTCATCGGTCGACCCGTTCCAGTACTGGTGACTTTCTGCGTCCAAATTAATCTGTGTACTAGAAAATACATGCATGCAGAAACCCTCGCCTTGCTGACAAAACCGTTGTATTTTCTGAACATGAAGTATCTAAAGTAGTTGTCATGGTAACACGATAATTTTTTAAGAATATTCGTACAAATGAAAATCGCCTAAAAATATCACTTTTAATTACAAAATTATCAATTTCCCAAGATATATGTGTTAGGTATGTAATTATACGTAATACAAGCTTCAATTTAAGGTAAAATTCAACCACAAACAATTCACAAAACGTTTTAAAGTGTTCTTTATAAAACCTCGTATAAAACTAAACTGCCTTTAACTATTAAATGGCTTTATCGATAAACTTTGAGTTTGCAATAAAATGATTTCAAATTCTCGCTTGCAAATAACTTTGCTTTATTTTTATTTAAAAATTCAATATAATAAAAAAGGGAATCAATATTAAAGATACACTGAAATTATATGCTGTCTTGTTTAGTTGTTTCATATACGCAAAGGCCATCGGGTTTTAAAGCCATTATAAAATCAATATTTAAAACAAACTTACCTTCGTTAACGTCGGCTCCCTTCTTTTAGCTGATTCTTTAGCCCTTTCTTTCTTGAAATTTACAAAATCTTGCAGAAATACGAGCAAAAATGAAGAATATTTGCAAGAAATTTATCAATCATCAACTCATCAAATCCAGAAATATTTGCTATTTCGCTGTCGTCATGCAGTCGTTACAATGCAAACTTTAAATTGGACCAATCAGTGTCCGTTATTCATGACAGTCCGCCATATTTTTGAGATCGGTGAGGATGACCACCCATCGTTGGTGACCGACGCCCGCGCTCATTGATGAACTTTAGACTCCGCTAATGATTTCGTTTCCCCGGGTGTAAATAGCCGGGGGGAATTAGTACCCTCGCACGGCGCTTCGCGCCGCCGGCTCGGGGATAACAACTCTCTTCAGGAACTCGTACTTCAATAGAATTGTGTATCTATGGAACAGCTTGCCTAGTGATATTAAATCTTCTTCCGTATACATCCTTAAAGCTAAACTATATGAATATTACTTTAATAAACTGTTACAGTATTTGATGCAGATAGGTGTAGAACTTGGAAAACACTATGCAGTAATTGTAGATCACTGCAAATAAACTGCTGCTCATAATACCTAGGTGCACGTAGCATGATCGATGGGTTAATCTGTTATATGCCTAACATGCTCAGTTTTCGTTACAACTCTTGATACATTTTTTTCACATAAATTAGTCACTAACTGAGTTTTAATATTCTCAATAGATTAACCATTCGAGCATTCTTCAATCGAGATTAATTTTTACTGTTGTAAATAGTTTTTATGCACGTCTGTATTTGTGTTGTCTTGGTGGGACTTAATTAATTGGGAACTTCTGTTCCGTTGTCCTGACCTTCGATCTTACTGATTGTCTAGTTATTAAAAAAAATTTAAAAAATTTCCAACGAAGTTGGTGTCAGGAAGCATAGTTAGCTGATATTGGGTATTTTTGATATTGGGTTTACTTGTTTCAAACGACCTCAAGTTTTAACAGGCATCACAGGTTGTTAAAAAAGCTCGGAAAAGACTAAACTTTCTAACTAATGAACTGGTCCAGTTTTGCATGCTATTACGGAATACGCTGGTGCGCATGCAGTGTTTTATGTTTCCAGTGTTACTCACGAGAGTCATCACTATATTAGTGCTCTCAGGTAATCACTTATAAGATCTATCTAGCATTTTTCTGGAATGTTTTATACAGTATAAGGGACTATCCATTTATGTATGTATGTACACCGTTCTTCCAGACATTCCACTGTTTCCCCTATGTAGAAGAAACGATAGAGTGTTGATGTTAGACGAGTAACTGCACATTCCACTCCCTTGAATCGAACAAATTAAATTATGAGAACTGAAATTTATGGTATATTAGAGACCGGTCATTAAATATGGCAAGGGGGGATGGAGGAGAAAGTAGGGGGGTCCTGAATTATTTTTTCATTGAGATGGGGGGGGTCTTGAAAATTGCATTGTGTGAAAGAGGGGGGGTCTTCGGATTTTTTCCAACAAGAGGATTGTTTCTCGTTACATACCGGATTCCTGGGTTTTCTGATTTTGCGTGTCTCAGAATGCTGCAAATGCCATTTCCGGGATTCAAATTTTAAAATTTTCCGTGCCTTCGGCACGAGCCTCACCCCCCACTATTTCATAAAGTGTTCACCACTTGCACACACGGTGGCTTAAAAGGTCTTAAAATTGTTTATTCTACCGATAAATAAAGGCTTTTTTATTGACTGGGATTTCAATAACTCGGACTGGGATTTCTAATAAAAATCCAACTAGGACTGGGATTTTGCCAAAATTTCAGGTGGGAAATGGGATTGGGACCCCCGCTCAGGACCCTCTTAAACAACACTGGGTATTAATTAACATAACGAGTAAAGCATAAAAAACATAATATAAAAGTGGATGTAGGCGAGACAAGCATAGGCCATAGAGTAACCTACCTAAATAGATTGTTAAATATTTATTTAATTAACTAGTTTCAGCAAATTTTATCCCTCTTTTAATACTCTTCATTGATAACTTGCTCTCCTAAGCTTTGTCCTAATCGGGCTAGCCATCAATACAAACCTACATTTTCAAGCGGTAAAAGAGGGGGGAGGGGTTCTTTAAAAAGTATAAAATGCATAAAGGGGGCCTTGAAAATGCATATTATTTTTGAGGGGGAGGCCCGAAATGTTTTTCAAAATTTCTAGTTTCTCCTCCATACCCCCCTTGCCATATTTAATGACCGGCCCTTAATATACAGAAATACATGAACTAATAAAATAAGGCTTCCGGTTTTTCCTCAATGAATGGAACTTTCTAAAATTTTGATCTAGACAAAAATTTCATCACAGCTAGAAAGAGCATCACAAAATTAGTAATATTCCAAAGTTTCGTTGCGAAATGTTGTACGTGAAATGCGGATAAGATAACCTTGCGAAATTTGTCGTTTTTCAGTCATTTTGTATTACGCATGGGAAATTGACAGCCCAAGCAGGTGTTGGGGCATCAATTTTCCGTTTGTAATACAAAATGACTGAAAATTGCAAATTTCGCAAAAGTCTATATTAAACGCATTTTACAACATTTCGCAACGAAACTTCGGAATATTATGTTTAAATTGTGATGCTCTTTCAAGCTGTGATGAATATTTTGTCTAGACTTGAAAGGTCCATTATATAAAATACGAACCTTTTGGTAAAAATGGGGTGAATTTCACCAACATGTTGTACTAGTACAGCATTCTTGCCAAGTATTTCTAAAATTCACCCCAAATTTTCTAATATTTATATAAAATACGAACCTTTTGGTAAAAATGGGATGAATTTCACCAACATGTTGTACTAGTACAGCATTCTTGCCAAGTATTTCTAAAATCCACCCCAAATTTTCTAATATTTATATAAAATACGAGCCTTTTGGTAAAAATGGGGTGAATTTCACCAACATGTTGTACTAGTACAGCATTCTTGCCAAGTATTTCTAAAATTCACCCCAAATTTTCTAATATTTACATAAAATACGAGCCTTTTGGTAAAAATGGGGTGTATTTCACCAACATGTTGTACTAGTACAGCATTCTTGCCAAGTATTTCTAAAATTCACCCCAAATTTTCTAATATTTACATAAAATACGAGCCTTTTGGTAAAAATGGGGTGAATTTCACCAACATGTTGTACTAGTACAGCATTCTTGCCAAGTATTTCTAAAATTCACCCCAAATTTTCTAATATTTACATAAAATACCAGCCTTTTGGTAAAAATGGGGTGAATTTCACCAACATGTTGTACTAGTACAGCATTCTTGCCAAGTATTTCTAAAATTCACCCCAAATTTTCTAATATTTACATAAAATACCAGCCTTTTGGTAAAAATGGGATGAATTTGACCAACATGTTGTACTAGTACAGCATTCTTGCCAAGTATTTCTAAAATTCACCCCAAATTTTCTAATATTTACATAAAATACGAACCTTTTGGTAAAAATGGGGTGAATTTCACCAACATGTTGTACTAGTACAGCATTCTTGCCAAGTATTTCTAAAATTCACCCCAAATTTTCTAATATTTACATAAAATACGAACCTTTTGGTAAAAATGGGGTGAATTTCACCAACATGTTGTACTAGTACAGCATTCTTGCCAAGTATTTCTAAAATTCACCCCAAATTTTCTAATATTTATATAAAATACGAGTCTTTTGGTAAAAATGGGGTGAATTTCACCAACATGTTGTACTAGTACAGCATTCTTGCCAAGAATTTGTAAAATTCACCCCAAATTTTCTAATATTTACATAAAATACGAGCCTTTTGGTAAAAATGGGGTGAATTTCACCAACATGTTGTACTAGTACAGCATTCTTGCCAAGAATTTCTAAAATTCACCCCAAATTTTCTAATATTTACATAAAATACGAACCTTTTGGTAAAAATGGGATGAATTTCACCAACATGTTGTACTAGTACAGCATTCTTGCCAAGTATTTCTAAAATCCACCCCAAATTTTCTAATATTTATATAAAATACGAACCTTTTGGTAAAAATGGGGTGAATTTCACCAACATGTTGTACTAGTACAGCATTCTTGCCAAGTATTTCTAAAATTCACCCCAAATTTTCTAATATTTATATAAAATACGAACCTTTTGGTAAAAATGGGGTGAATTTCACCAACATGTTGTACTAGTACAGCATTCTTGCCAAGTATTTCTAAAATTCACCCCAAATTTTCTAATATTTATATAAAATACGAACCTTTTGGTAAAAATGGGATGAATTTCACCAACATGTTGTACTAGTACAGCATTCTTGCCAAGTATTTCTAAAATTCACCCCAAATTTTCTAATATTTATATAAAATACGAGCCTTTTGGTAAAAATGGGGTGAATTTCACCAACATGTTGTACTAGTACAGCATTCTTGCCAAGAATTTCTAAAATTCACCCCAAATTTTCTAATATTTACATAAAATACGAGCCTTTTGGTAAAAATGGGGTGAATTTCACCAACATGTTGTACTAGTACAGCATTCTTGCCAAGTATTTCTAAAATTCACCCCAAATTTTCTAATATTTATATAAAATACGAACCTTTTGGTAAAAATGGGATGAATTTCACCAACATGTTGTACTAGTACAGCATTCTTGCCAAGTATTTCTAAAATTCACCCCAAATTTCCTAATATTTACATAAATACGAACCTTTTGGTAAAAATGGGGTGAATTTCACCAACATGTTGTACTAGTACAGCATTCTTGCCAAGTATTTCTAAAATTCACCCCAAATTTTCTAATATTTATATAAAATACGAACCTTTTGGTAAAAATGGGGTGAATTACACCAACATGTTGTACAAGTACAGCATTCTTGCCAAGTATTTCTAAAATTCACCCCAAATTTTCTAATATTTATATAAAATACGAGCCTTTTGGTAAAAATGGGGTGAATTTCACCAACATGTTGTACTAGTACAGCATTGTACTAGTACAGCATCGTTTATTCATATAAATAACGAACATTTGTGGTAATATTGTTTTTTTTTTGGATTTTTTTAGTGAATTCTTCCCTTAATAAGTGCATTGCATACTTTCGAATAACTGAACAAATAAATCCCCAGCCCATGTAGCCAATATTAATTGTAGAATTGCTATTTGCGAAGTTATATGTCTGTTAAGGTCAACACAAACATGTGAAAACATATACAACATAAATTTAATAAAATATATATGTGTAAAAAATAAACAATTATAAAATGGCCTCTAAACTAAAAATTCCGCAACATATGGATATTTTAGATTTATCCAATACTAATCTGAATAGTTGCAGTAACCTCTGGGTTCACGAGGGATGTTTTCAAAAAACGCTTTTAAGCTAAAATGGTTTGCGTAAAAAGAATGAAGTTGTTGAAAGACAATTTGAATTTAAAAGGCGCAAATTTAGATGATGTTTTATGAATTACCAAAGTAGCAGACAATTTGATTTACATTAAGTCCAACGCGAGACGAATTTGGAACCGGGCTGAAATTCGTCCGTTTCGGCCTTCGTTTATACGAAATTAACACCACCGAAACAGACGAATTTGGGACCTCCTAACAGTACGAATTGGCGTGTAAACAGGCAAAAAAGAACGAATTCCAGCCCGGTCCCAAATTTGTCCGAACCGTGTAAACGGAGTCTTGTAATTTTTTTGCTTGACTGATTTTATGCGTGATTGATTTCTTTAGAAAAGTTTGAAAACAGCTCTCCCGAAATCAGAAGTTAAATTTTCAGATTAGAAATCAGAAAAATCTAAAACACCCATATTTTTCCAAGTTCTTCAGAGGCCATTTACGGTTGTCTTTTTTTTATATACACTCTGTGTAAAAATATGTACACTATGTTTATAGTAAAAACATGAGCATCTGTTTTTGATGGGGCATTTACAATCTTTATGTGCATTTACATAATATGTCACGTGAAGTGGCTTTACACCTGATAAAATTCTGAATCATCTTCATTAAGTATTCTTTATATAAAAGTCCATCCTAATTATTATTCTTTATATAAAGAATACTAATGACCGTAGTGACTTCTGCATGTAGTCGTGTTTGAGCCACGCAGGTCTATGGTAAAAATAACCAGGAAATCTAACGCCCTGGGCTCATGTCATGAGGAACATTAACTAAATTACACTAATGTCAATATTAAGTTAACCAAGAAATTATTTGGCCAACCTCGCAAGCCAGGGTCTTTAAAGTAAAGACCCTGGCTTGCGAGGTTGGCCAATTTGGCTTGAAGTGCATTAAGTACTACCCTATTAAAACTTGTATTTAAATTCGTGTGAAGAACAAGACTAATTAGCAAATATGTATTCTGCTGTGACAATGAAATCAATGGAGTACACATATACATTTCACTGTAAAATATCCCACACTTGCAGTGACTTTATACTTGATAAAGAACTCCTCATTAGTATTCTTTATAAACATTCTCCTACTTAGCGTTACCAATATAAAGGATACTAATGAAGCCGCGTTTGAAGCAATTTACTATTAAATCGCAGTATGTGTTTTATTAAATCTGAAGGCACAATTCCAGTCCTCGCACGAAGCTCCTCGCAGCTCGCTGCGAGTGCTTGCATCTAATTAAAATAAACTCTTAAGCATTGTGACTGGATGAAAGTGCTCATGCATGCGCTGCGAGGAGTTTCGTGCGAGGACTGGAATTGCGCTCTAAAACCACTCGCGCTACAGGCGCGTACTGTATGATCCGCACTAATTTTAATTGCACGAATTTAAATTCAAGTAAGGTATTCAACAATATCGTCTCAAACATTTATTGAGAGTTATTTAAAGGGAAAAGATATTTTCTAGGCCATTCGTAGATCTGCCCAACTACTACTCTATTTTCTCCATTTTTGTCTGCGTAAAATGGCCTGGCATCGTCTGGGCAGGTAGTCGTTGATATGGATATCTTACAGGAATCTTTTCTAATTTCATCCAAGTGAAGTTGACGTCCGGGTAGGACAACACCAGAACCAAATAGGCGGGGTTTTCGAGCATACATCCCGATAACAATTACATTCTCACCTACAAATTACAAAAGAAAACATAGTTGTAATGCTCATTAATAACTGGAGTAAACAGTCAAGTGGACTCACAAACTATATATATATATATATATATATATATATATATATATATATATATATATATATATATATATATATATATATATATATATATATATATATATATATATATATATATATATATATATGTAGCGGTTGTTGAGTTGTTTTCAGACGAGCGTATACCAAGCCGGGCAAGCAGAAAATTCTACTTGACCGCGGCTGGGATTCGAACCCGCGACCTTCGCATTTCTAGAACGATGCTGTACCTCCTGAGCTACAAGGCCAAGCTGAGAACGACTTGTTAAGTTATGATGTCAGTTGCATTTCGGAGGTTAGTCCTTCAATGCGTAAAGCCAGCTATTAGTCTGGCAATGTTGTATGTGAATGTTGTGGTTTCCCACGTTGACGATTCCACTCGTGTTACGTTATGTAGCGGTTGTTGAGTTGTTTTCAGACGAGTGTATACCAAGCCGGGCAAGCAGACAATTCTACTTGACCGCGGCTGGGATTCGAACCCGCGACCTTCGCATTTCTAGAACGATGCTCTACCTCCTGAGCTACAGTACAAGGCCAAGATGAGAACTCATACATATATATATACTCTCATATATATATATATATATATATATATATATATATATATATATATATATATATATATATATATATATATATATATATATATATATATATATATATATCATATATCATATATCATATATCATATATCATATATCATATATCATGTCGATCATGCATGATATATGAAACTCTGAGCCCTAACGGGAATTGAACCACGTAACCTTCTGATAACCGGACAGACGCTCTAACCATTGAGCTATAAGGCATCAGATGGTGAGCCAAGGTTACGTTATTTACTAGTTCTGTAAAGAGACTTGCAGTTAGCAGTACACAAGTAACACACAGAACTAGTAAATAATATATATATATATATACGATACGAATATTGTGCCCATTAGCTTTCTGAAACACGCGACATTCCGCATGGCTAGCTCATTTAAAAAAAGGTTTGTACGGTAATGACATGCACATATAATAAGAACTTACCATCGATTGGATTGTAGTTAACATTGGGTATTTGCAGGTTTACGACGCGTTTTTGTTGTGGTTGCTGCTGCTGTTGTTGTAGTTGTGGTTGCTGCTGTTGTTGTTCTGGTTGCCGCTGCGGCGGTGGTTGTAGTTGCTGCTGCTGCTGTTGTTGTTGTTGTTGTTGTTGTTGTTGTTGTTGTTGTTGTTGTTGTTGTTGTTGTTGTTGTTGTTGTGATTGCTGTTGTTGTTGCGGTTGCAGCTGCTGCTGTTGTGGTGGTTGTTGCTGCTGCTGCAGTTGTTGTGGTGGTTGCTGCTGCTGCTGTTGTTGTTGCTGCTGGCGTTGTTGTTGTTGTTGTTGTTGTCGTTTATGTTCGTTCTCTTCTACATGTTGTTGCTGGTGTTGTTCTTCTTGTTGCTGGTGTTGTTCTTGTTGTTGTTGATGTTCTTCTTGTGGGTTTTGTCTTAATGGCTTTTTTATCTATAAAAAGGAAATTGAAAGAACACACCAACTTTGTTTGAAATGTCCAACAGCACGTCTAAGGCTTCAAACTACTTTGATAAAACGCGCCAAATTGTCGGTAACCTCCACCCGCTACTGTATTTACCGCATAAAATAAACGAGTCAAATTAAATTTAGTTTAAATCCAAAATATTGAGTCTGCATGTTTAAACATCAATGTTTTATAACGACATTTTCAAATAATTTTTAGCTTCTTTTCGTATACGTCTTATAACAAATCAATATCTAAACGTTGCACTAAAATCAATATCTTTTAGTTTTCAAGGATCTGTAAGATCAAGGCACATCAATTATACAGTATGCACATACCACTTTAACCGCCTTTTCGCAGGAAACTATATTTCTTAGTTGGTTCGTCCCGTAGTCTTTTGGATGTCTCAACTTTAGACCAGCAGGCAAACCTTTTAAATAATAGGCAGATCTTCCTTTAATTATCCGTTTATACGGCATTTTCTGTCCTTCTTTACCAACTGCTAACCCTATAACGTCAAAAAAGAACTGTGTACGTCAATAATTTGTTTAAAAATTGTATCGTCCATGCAAAACAAAGTAATTACACAATATAAAAATATGATTCAGGCATGAAGTATGTACTGTATTAAGACCTATTTCAAACTTCAGAATTTTGATATGCAAATGTAACCAACTAAAATAATGAATTTACAGTAGGTTTACTGTGTTGGTGTAATGTACTCAGGTGAATATATGATGCTTGTGATGTTACTGTGAGTGTATATCTTTTTAAAAAACAAGCTTCCCGGTGTGGATATACACTCAGAGTAACATCACAAACATCATATTCACCTGAGTACATTACACCAACACAGAAAAAATATGATTATTAGATTACATTGATATCGAAGGAACTAAATTCTGTTCCGAACTACATGCAGTATCACATACTCGAACCGACCTGACCGCGTAGCGCAGTTGGCAGAGTATTGGGCAGGTATTCCAAAGGTCGTACAGTAGGTTCGATTCCCACCGTGGTCAGGCATATTTTTCAAGCTTGCCCGGTGTGGATATATACTCAGAGTAACATCACAAGCACCAGGTTTACTGCAGTTTATTAAGTTTGATGGGAACATACGAAACCAATCGCGAGGTTCGAACTAGGAATGAATGTTCAAAATACTAATAGCACTCACCGTACGCTTGATTGAATATAGTTTTTACTCTTTCAATTAGACCATCGCGATTTAATTCACCTTATAAAATAAGTTAAGAAAACCATAAGTATAAATAAATACACAAACGAATGAACAAATATGTAAATAGTATAAACATTGGATGACTAAAATTTATAAATGGCATGCGTTGTTGAATTAATATAATTATGAAGCATATCAGCAGCTGTTCTGTATCTGATTTACAAGGTGATTCGCGGTAATCAGAGACAGACTGATGCGAATACTTTCCTTAAACTAAATTAAGAGTTACGCTGCATATTCCTTAATTTATACACCAATTACAGTAGGTACATATACATATCTAAGTATACACCCCACTACAATATTACGGCACCCATCGCCCAATGCTGCTAAAAATAAAAGGTAACAACTTTCAACAGCATGTATTGCAATTGACGTCACAAGTGTAGTTTGTCCGAATATTCCCACAATTCTTACTTGCTTAACATAGGAATATACTGTAGTTCATTGATTTGAAAGTGAATCTCAGTTTGTTTGTCTGAAGTTTGTGCTATAAATTAACCTCTACGCTATTTAACAATTAGACAACGAGGCCGAGTTGTTTATGAGCGAATAGTCAACGAGGCGAAGTGTAAACTTTAACATTAATTTACAACTAGGCTGCAAACACAATACAAAAATACACAAAAAAAACATTATAAAACCATTAAAAGTAAACAAATAGTTTTTGTTCGCGTAAAATGTTTTACAAAATTCAGTTTTAATTTCAAAATTTCATTGAGCGTATGTTATTTTGTCTATTTTCATACCCTTAAAAATTTCCATTCCATATTTTTGTTGCTTTTTTCGGGGGTTTTTAGTACAGAATTGTTCAACAAGTCGTCCAAAAAATCATCTGACATTTCGGTAAAAGTGCAAAACGCGAATTTTCCGCCATTTTGAATTTTCTATTAGTAGGCTATCACTAATAGCCTACTAGTAGCGTAGCCAATCAGAAGGCACGATATGTGATAGCCTACTAGTAGGTTTATACTAATAAGAATTATCCAGACCTCTGTCAATGTTATCCGCTTCAGACTACGGAGGATAACATAAACCTCGGTCTTGATAATTCTTCATATCATGCTCAGCCTCATCCGATAATTTTTATATCCCGTTTACACTGTACCTGATAGGCTGGTCACGACATCTTCGTTTGTTGCCCATGAGCAACGTTTAACAACGAAGGTTTACTCTTTCGATAACTAAATTCCAAATGTTTCTGCTCGTTAAGTACTACCATTATAAATATTTAAGACTTTAGGCTAATTCGTTGACTGTTAAAACTGATGTCGTGACCAACGAATCCGGTACAGTGTAAACGGGGCCTTAGTACTATTGGATTACAAACACCCGGTATTTTCACCGTAATGACTAAATTGATGGGCGAAAAGGAGTTTTCAAGATAGTTCATAATTTAAACTCAGAGATCGTTTTAGTTTAGGGTTAGTGTTGGGGTTAGGATTGAAGTTAGGTCAGTACCGGGATTGGATTAAGGTTTACGATTGTTATAAGTGCCTTTCTGGTGGCTCGTTAGAGATTTAACGATCTTGAAAAGTAGCCGTCATCTTGAAAACACCCCTCTCGTCCATCCCCTTTAACAACGACCGTAGTTAAACCATTGGTGAAGAGAAATTGTACGTTACATACGTGTTTTGATATACACCATTTTGTTATGCTTGGAATGAAAATGTACTTAAAAACCAAATTTTAAAGGTGTTAGTTGTAACAGTGTTGAATTCAACATCACATGCATTTATTTAAAAAATTTAATGCATTTTTTTATCAAATATTCAGCTTCACTTTTTGGACTCGATTTCTCGTTTCAGATATATGACATTTATACAAAGAATATGCCATACGTTTCGCTAGGGTAGTATAGGCAAAGCGTTTCATAGGTAAAATACACATGAACTGTTAGCTAAATTATGTCATATAATTTAGTTGTGTACCATGATTTTTTGCCATTTCAGCATTTATTTGGTTGAGGATTTGCTGGTTAACAATCCTTTTCCCACTCTCAGATGCCAGGCGCTTCAATTTGTTGTCATAAAATAGCAAGGCACAACATTCTACTTCCAGTGATTCCAGGTAGTCAATCTAAAATATACAGTAAGAGTTAGTAATAAGGCATCAGGGGCCAGTTTCACGTGTGTCGTCTATATCCGTGGTTTCACAGTTTTTAAGCATTTTTACAACGGTTGAAATAATCACTATCCGTTGGATAGCGCTATCTAACTTCGTATTATGCAGCTACATGTAGTATAAAGTACTTTAGATCATAGGCGGCCCAATCTTGTATTAGTACATACTAATGTGATTATAGTAAAAATATATCATAAACCATAAAATATATATTTTAAAATGCAATTTACTTGCCTATTTGATGGTGTGTGTTCTCCTTTTATTCTTCTTTTATTGGACTAATATATTCGAAATTTTGCACTCAATGGTTGCGGCTGCCACTTGCAATCATCAAGTGCAAAATCTCGGAAAATATTAGCCCAACAAAACAGGAATAAAAGGAGAACACACACTATCAAATAGGCAAGTAAATTTCATTTTAAAATATATGTTTTATGATACATTTTTACTATAATATACAATACTAACACAATATTGGGCCAGCTGTGTATAAGTCACCATTAATTACAGCCCTGAATTATAGAATATACGAGGGTTAGCAACACAAGAACAGGTTTTGACAATACATATATCCAAGCAGGTATCCATAATTTTGTGCAATGCCACTCATATCCAGTTTTTATATACTGCACTGTATGTATGAGGTTTCATTTTAAGGTGTGCAGCCATTGCATTTAAATTGTGTGCCCCTCTCTGTTTAGATGTTTGAATATCCAATGAATAGGTGGGATTTCTCATGTTGATTGTTCCTAGGGGATAGCTTGTGGGATTTTCAGAAAATTACTAAAGGGCCTTCAACTGAAACATCGAATTTCACCTTATACTTTTCATGTAGTTGCATCCCAAGCAATAAAAGCTTTGTTAATGCCTTAATGGGAACTTTCATGTTTTATCCCAAGGCCAAAAAAAGAATAGTTGGTTTCAGGTTTTACAGCCATGTTTTATATGGGTAGGTAAGTCGGAAAAACATTTCATTTTTGAAAATATTTTATCTCAACTCTCAAGTATGCAATAAATATAAGTTGTTTATGAGTAACTGTCACACATGGTCAAGAAACAAACACATCAAGTCGTTTTTATTTGGGGGGGGGGGGGTCGATTTCTTTTTTCGTATAACTCCCATGTCAGAATAATGTACGTTTTTAATATTTTATTCAACTGTAAAAACAATGAATAACATACTAGATAATGTAGACAAATGAGTCTGATGACTATTTAATATATATTCTGCTAATTAGTAATTATGAAAAGATTATCTCTACTGGGAAATGTCAATAAAATGCTTATGGTTGGTCATATTTTTGACAGGCCGGTTTGAAACCTGAAACCAACTATTATTTTTATTTGGCCCAAGAGGGGGTATGGAGGAACCCATCAAAATGGAGGGTGCTACATTCAATTGAATGGCCCATTGGGGATAGAAAACAAGACTCAAGACTCTATGCACTCCTCCTCTACAGCCCTCCTAACATTCCTATACTGGTATATAGTAACTACAAGCGCTCTCCACTTGATGAGTAAAATCGTCTGGTGTTAGACAGAGTAGGGCCAAAATATCTTAACATTGTTTGCAGAAGCTGATAGTGATACAGTATTCATGTGAAGTAAGAATAGTAGATACACTTTACATACATGCTCTTTTAGCTTCAGCAGAGCATTGCTAACCAGCTCCTTCTTTGACTGCAATGAAGAAACTTTTTCAGCTTCCTCATTTTTCGCTCTGGCATTGTATTCTGCTTTCCTTTCTTCATTCATACTTCTCCATGCTTCAGAAAAAGCTTTGTTTTTCTCAGCCAGAGATGGAACCTTTTTCGATTCTATTGATAACGTAATTAACAGGTACAATAAGTAATGTAATAATATACATCAAAATCTCACTTAACTGTGATTGGTTGATTTTGCTACTTTAGTATTTTACTCTGTCTAACGCCAGACGATTTTACTCGTCAAGGGGAGAGCGCTAGCGCTCAATGGGTTAACTGGCCTATCTGCCCATGTGTCTAGTTAACCCATTGAGTGGCGATGCACCCTGATGCACCCTACTTTAGTTAATTTTACTCTGTCTAACGCCAGACGACCTTAGTCGTCAAGGGGAGAGCGCTGGCGCTCAATGGGTTAATCTTAAACAGCAGTGCAAAATTCTTCAAGTAACAGTCACACTGTCACAGATTGATTCAAAACAACACAAACATGGCAGCAACACCAAGTAAGTAAGAGTGGAGTTTGTGTTAAAAATACATATGGCATTTATCCTTTTTTTAAATGGAAAAGACTGTCTTTAACAAGGCTAGCAAACATATGCATTTGAGTGAAATTTTCAAGCTGCAGGTTAGATTTTTTTTATATTCTAATAATTCAATAGAATGTTAATTGTTGGCCAGGTCTTTTTATTGAGTAGATTATAATGCATATTTGCAAAAAGAGTGCAAACTCACTCACAAAGGCTTGACAAGTGAGTTACAATAATACAATATCGGGTGAGTTGACAGATGGACCTTGCACATTAGTTCAATCATAAACTCTGAATTTTAAAAACATTACCTTCACTTCTCATAAATTCCCTGTAAAACACATTTGCTCCAGATAATTTCCGACGCTTTCTTGGTGGTCCAGCAGTATTTGGTGTAGCAGATGGCACCTCTCTCTGGGCACTGTCAGAACTGTTTTTGACTTTCCGGTTCTGGTTGCGGATGTAATTCTAATAAAAAATATAAACATTATGACTATAATGGTAAAAATTATCCCACTATCCCTATACCTAGTTGCTCCTGAGACTAAGAAAATGTAAAATATAGTTACAGTACTGTAATTTGCATTATCATGCTTTTCTTCTAAATACCTGCATCTAAATACTGGTTACAGACAATACATTTCTAATGGTTTGAATAATACAAATAATTAAAAATTTAGACAGTATGATCTTCACTACTGACTAAGGAGTAAGGGTGCACCTCCTTTATTATTTTAGTTTGCCTAATATGTCCTGATGCACCTGGCTTACATAACTATTTCATCAGATCATTCACTGTTTAAGGGAGATTGTTGAATATCAATGGTTAACTCAAATGTTGCTTTGAGGCACAATGCAACTTACAGTAATGGTTGAACAAAAGTTACAGATGGCCTGAAACATGGAATACATAAGTTAATTACATAAATAAATAAATTAAATGTAAATTAATTAAAATTAATTCAAACACTAACAGTTTGACACAGAACATCCTCATGATCTTTTCATTGGTTTCTTTTTGTCACAAGATGCTTTAATTATGAGTATGAAAGTTTACTCTAAACAATAAACATTAAATCTGCTAATATTTTTTAGATAGTTGGACCTCTCTCAATCTGCAGATGTGAATCAATAGATGCAAAGTGAAGAATATTATGGAGAATATTAACCCTTTAAGTGGCAATGCGCCCTAATTTATTATACTCTGTCTAATGCCAGACTATTTTACTTATCAGGGGGAGAGTGCCGTCACTCAATCGATTAATCAGACAATCTATCCATGCATCCTGTGAACCATTTATATGTCTAACCCCAGATAATTTTACTCATCAGGTGGAGAGTGCTGCCACTCTTAAACACATTTTGTGTTAAATATGGATTAAATGAGTACTGTACCTACAGGTGTCATTCATGTTTTCAAGCATTGGTTTAAGCATGTTTTGAAAAAATTGATTCAATTGACCTTATATGGGGGTTTTGGCCTGTTTTGGGGTATTCAGTGTAAGAATGCCTCATCCTAAATATTAGCAATACATGTAGTACAGTCCATTATGTGCATTCATACATCAGAGCCTCCTAATTGTGGTACAAACGTGTGTTCTTGCAAAGCCTGGTTGTACTACTGTACCTTGATATCGATAACTTATAGGGGTGAGCACTGGCACTCAATGGGTTAACCCATTGAGTTGCATTGTGCCTTGATGCACCCTACTTTATTATTTTACTGTGTCTAATGCCAGATGATTGGACCCGTCAAGGGGAGAGTGATGTCACTTAATAATGGGTTAAAGTTTCATTTGATGATCAGAATACAATTAATTATTCACTCTCATTCCTATCCATATGTATGGTCTATGCATCCATGCAATGAACAACCTTTCTAATTATATATTATAATAACCCAGCGCCAGGCATTAGATTAAGTAAAATAATAAAGAAGGACTGATTTGGGAGAAATGCGACTTTACACAATCATGTATTTATTGATGTAATACGCAATACTTTATTTTCAAAATTCAAAATCAAGCCTAAAACACAGAGGCCTCTTAATATTCATTATACAAACCCAATCAACGAATCACTTACACTTTATATATTTATGACAAAGCTTATTTTATTAGTATAAATACGATCGAAGGAATGACTAGTTTTGACTTTTTAGGTGACGCGCTTAGTAGAATTCCAGAGAGCACGTGTTATGTATTATTTTATATATCAAGATCGAGCTATGTTTTTTACTGGATATTAATAAACATCATAAAAGAAATATTATTAATATTGAAATAGTTATAAAAGCAAAACATTAATATGTAATATTAACATACTTTTTCGGTCAATACGACATTTTTATATACCTTAACTTTATCCTGCGATAGACCGAGTTCTTCGGCAAGCAATGAAATCTGCGAAGCAGTTTGTCTTCCAGTTGATCGCAACCCAGACGACCACGCTTGTTCTAAACGAGCCTTTTGCGAAATTGAAAAGGTAGATCTTCCTCTTTCGGACATTATAACAATTAAATAATATTAAAGCCGCAAATCAACAAAATATGTGATAATGCCAACGATATTTACGACACTACGACAGCAAGTGTGCGGACTATAGAGCTGTAGAGACGGACTTTCAAATGAGATAATTATATGTTTGAGCCGCCTAACAGTATAATTTGCGGTTGTATGTGTGAGGGTATTCGAGGGGATCCCGTGACGCAGTATACATACTGACGCTGTTAATGATTTTGTCAGTATATATACTGATGATTTCATGTGCATCGGGTGGATCAACAGCCTGACCCAGGGCCACTGTGAGGGCCGCCCGAGCTTGGGCCTGGGGACGAGGATGCCATGTCCTATACAACCTCGTCCCCAGGGCCTATTGAGGAAGGAGGCGAAGCAGCAAAGGCCCTGGTAAAGGCTGGTCACGTGATGCTTAAAATTTTGAATATTTCAGAAATTTAACTTTTCAAACCGGGGGTGCGGGCCGCTTTGATTTTATCAAACATGGCCGTGCAAAGGGGCGATAGAATTAACCTTTTGCGACTGAAACCAGAGACTGAAACTATGATGATAAACTTTTCAACTGACAGTGGAAATACTGTAAATATATAGTCTGCGATGTTCTTCAAAAAATATGGAATATAATCAACAGCAATACTTGTGGAAGATCAAGATTCAAAGAGAAGAGTCTAAACACTGACTGACAACAGTAAATATTTCTTTTCAGCTTGGAAGCGTGTTTTATAATATTTGTCGTTTGGGAGTCAATAACATACTGTCACTACTGTCAGTGAAGAATTTGATTTGGGACTTTGATGTACCTTTATGAAAAGATTACTACTGAATACAAATGTGCATGTAAAATGTGATTAGAACGTTTTAATATGAACAGTTGCACTGTCATTGACTCAATATATTTTAATGTGGGACAAACATTAAAAAAACATTAAAGTACTGTGCCAAGTGACAAAATTCCATGCCGACCATGGGTTACGTATGTATGCATTTTTATTAAACGTTTATACCAATATACACTATTTTAAACCTTTGTGTGTGAATTTTGTGTGTTGATTTTATGATATTTGACAACCATGAATATTAATAATATAATATGTTAACAGCAAGTTTACAGTATATCGTATAATACAAAAGCAATATCACTGATATTATCACAAGACTCAAGTCCTGTACATGGTCTAATAGATGTTTCTTAGTCAGCAACTATGCTCTTTGACATTGTGGCAAGCGTTATATTGTGGTTAGCTTGGTTTTTCACTTTTTTGATACAACTATAGAATACCCACAACTTTCACACCTTACCGCTATTAATTCCTTGTAAACCAAACTAACATGCATACTCATATGATTTAATCTCTAAACTTTACCTTAAACTATTTTGAAGTGATTCTTGTACTTATTTATGTGTCAATGAATGCGGAAAAATGGCGAGGTATTCTATAAGCATTCCGGCATGTGTGTTTTTGAACCTTCACTGTTGAGAGAGCACGCCACGGGTCTCCCCAAATTATCTGAGCACTTCAACCAGACCAACAGCTGCCAAATGGCAACTATGCTCAGAGGTGTAACTTAACACTTGCCCGGGACAAGTGAATATCATGATGGGCAAGTAAAAGTTTCCTCTTGGTTGCCCGAACGGGAAAGTTGCTTTGCCACAAAAAGCTGGCCAGCTTTCAGTTCATATTATTATTGTCGGATAGAATAAAGGCTGTTCGGCGATATTGGTTCAAGCTGGCAAATCATCTGCATCAAATTCATCTAAATTGTTTGGTTATATTATGCATTTGATTCTCTTTTTGGTTATTAAATGTTATTCATAATATGATAACCGAACGAAATATGGCAGGACTTCATTTATGGCAGGACTTAATTTGGGACTTTATTAGTCCTGTTGTCTGTGCCTTCAATTTCTTATTGTAAAACTAATAAAAAATAAATAATGGTGATTAGTGTTACATTAAACAAGTGTACTTGATTCAAATTTTGTTTAATATGTGAGCCAAAGCTAGATCTGAGGTTTAGATCTGAGGCAGTAACATATAGCCAATGCCACTAGTCCAATGAGTGGATATGTTGTCTCTCTAATTTATACTGGCCCGCGTAGGTAACCCATTGCCTGATGGCAAGTGGATTTTATTCAGGGCAACCAATTTTCATGTCCAACTTGCCCTGAGGGCAAGTGGTCAAAAAAGTTAAGTTGCACCACTGATGCTGTATACAAATTATATACCTGAAAGGTAACTTACATCATATTGTGTCATTTAAATACTAATACTTGTATTCTCACAGTGTATTAAGATATACAAATGCACTTGTGATGCCCAAAGAATTGCCACAAAAAAACCCCATAAACCACAAATCAGTCAATTTCAGTAAGTAGGGCACACTGGGGCACACTGGGGCACATTGCAGCTCAATGGGTTAACTAGAGACATTGTCAGATTTTGGTTAATAACCATAATTGCAAGAGGTCAGTACAGTCTGTAACAATAAGTAATTCAGGAATTCTCAGTAGTTAAATGATTATCGGATTTCATGTTAAATGATTATCGGATAATGTTGAGCATCAAGAATATATGTATAATATCCTTCATACATTTATAATAATATTCAGGCTAAATATCATAGTTATTATTTTATGTACTATAGTTTTATCAGGTATAAAGATACGAGGTGAAGCCAAGTACCTTTAGGTCTGATAAAGCATACACTGCGAATGTTTTAAATTGCTCAACTGATGGTCACCAACAACAAATAGTACTTTATTACAAGGCGGCAAAATGTATTTATATTAAAAGAGATGAATAATCTTGTCACTTGATACATTTGACATCAGGTGTCTTGTATTTGTCCAGAAGAGACCCCTTGTTATTGTATCATGTTTTGAGAATGAGTTCAATTTTGATATTTGTTGTTGATCTGAGCAAAATATTGATTATTGATTTGCCTACTGAGGTACACATTATTGAACAGTCAGTTGTGGTGAGTGATGCTGAACTGCCTGTTGTATGTTGTGAGTGATTTTGAGCGCCTGTTGTGATGAGTGACACTGAATTGCCCCAATTGTGGCTCAGGAAATGTACCTGCTGACTTGTCAAATAATCTCCTTAAATAATGTTCTGGGAAGTAATTTGTGTAATTGATTACAAACAAAAACAAGAGCTTGTTAACAGTATAATGAGGAAATTAATTCCATCTCATTATATTATTCAGCCTTGATAAAGCATATGGAGGCTTTCTGTCTGATTTGACCCTCATGCATGTAATTGTTTGGGAATGCCTGATAATTAAGATCACAACATTTGTTTTGAAGCTTGGCCTTTGAAATCTAAACCCAAAGCATTATATGTGTGTTCACAATGTTCTTGGGATAAGAATGAAAATCAAATAAAATATTTCAACTCAATTAAATTCAGAAAATGTTAATTAATCATGGAGGTCAACCAGGTTATACTCAGGGCATATGGCTAACATAAGCATTTAAATTCCAAGTGCATACGATGTTGACATTCCTTGTTTTTCAGACATTCTTTGGGTCTTGTACTCCCTTTAACTGTTAAATATACTGTATGATATTGACATTTGCAAGAAAGATCTATTGTAGCAACAATAACTATTAAATGTTTTGATGATCATGGATATGGTGTATTGAGAGTCCATATTATTAAATTAAAGTGATTTTACATATCTGTTTCACAATCGAGGCAGCAATTTCCTTGCGACAGTATTAAATTCATAGTATAAATGCTTCTATCGATCCATTCGTTTTGCACTGTTGCTTTGTCTATTTAATAGATCTCCTTTACAGTTCAACCAAGGTTCTCAGAGCTAATTTGAAGACAATTTCAAATTTATTCAATATTTTTGGAAGAACTTTAACAGATTTTTTCATTTTAAAATAGGTTTTTGTTCTTTATTTGTCGATTTCGGTGTTTATGCAATATTGACGAATATATTGTAGCTAAAGTGATCCGCGATCGTACCCCTCTGTATACTATTTGCTCCGATATATCACGTGACAAAATAATCCACAATTTGTGGATTATTTCACCAGCCTTTACCAGGGCCTTTGCTGCCCTTCGCATCTTTCTTTAAAAGGCCCTGGGGACGAGGTTGCAGTGCCGACTGCTGATCCGGTGAGCAAAGTGGTGGGGTGGATTTACTGGCTTATTATAGCATTTTGCCGACATGTTTAATACATAAAGTTCAAAATTCATAAAGCAGCGATGATCTTAATACCTGTCATACAACTTACATCAGTTTGTTGAAATATAAAATTTCTGCTTGCCCCAGATTTTGTTCTGCTCGACTCTTGACTTGCATGTTGTTGTTGTAGCCATGAACTTTGTAATCGGTTCTTTTTTCTTTTCTCCATACACCTCCGTGTTTAAGACATCTCCTGTATATTACTCATCTCGTGTTTAACAAAATATAAAATAGTAAAATATATTTGAAAACTTCAGAACATTTCAATATTTGTTTCTTTCTTTTTTATTATTTTATATTTATTTTTTATTTTAAATTATGAGCCAGCATTCCAAAATTCGTGATTTATATGTAGTACTTCATGACATTTATTTCTTGAATTTTCACCTTTCAATCCCATTCAATCCCTGAAAACAAACGAGCAACTGTGCCAAAATGAACGCCAGAAATGAAAAGCGTACCTCAATATTAGTAAAAATGCACTATACAGTGTGTATAAAAAAAACTGAACCCTTTCAAATTCAAATTAGCTATAACGTATTGTAGTAATTTGACAAGAAAAAAACAAGGTCTTGTACTTATGGGACAAAACTCAAAGAAATAAAAATTAGAAAATTTAAAAGTTTTAAGAGTTTTGTCCCATGAATACAAAACCTTGAGTTCTTACCCAACTATTAATTCAAAGCAATTAGAGCTGTCAAATTACTACAATACGTTATGAGGGTCTGAATGGGGTTAACTGACTACTAACATTTGCCTGAATTTTTGACTGACAACTGACAAAATATCCTAACTGACTACTGAGAAATGATAAAAAAAATTATAAGTCAGCATTTTGCAGTAACTGACTACTGACAGCTTGCAATATATCGCACTGACAACTGACAATTGGCTTAAATTTTAGCTGACAACTGACACCCAAAGACCTCCATTAAGACCCTCCGTTATAGCTAATTTGAATTTGAAAGAAGGGTTCAGTTTTTTTTATACACCCTGTAGTGTGCAAATCTATATATCAACCAGTGTGCAATCTATTTACGGGAATTACGAGCAGGGACCGAGCCCTGTCGCCGGTGTCAAGCGAAATTCCTGACCTCTGCGAAATACCCTGACCAAGCGTGACGCGTACGAGTCAGAAATTTTGCGCGTGGAGGCGCGAAATATATGACGCTTGTATGAGGCTCCTGAAGGGGTAAAATGGGAACTGGGATTGATCTATTTTTAGACTGGGAAAATGGGATTTGGGTTGCTGGGACTGGGATTTGGCCACTGGGAATGGGAAATAAAGTCCTCAAAAATGGGAATGGGATTGAGGTAATACGAGTCGATTCCCAATTTTTCTGCGTTTTGAGTATTTTAAAATACAATTTTGATCCGTTTTTGGTGTCTTTGGTCATGATTTTTGTTGTTAACTATATTATTCACAGTGCTACCTGCGAACAGGCATACTCTGGCGCCCGCAATTCTGGGTTTTCTGATTATGCGTGTCTCAGAATGCTGCAAATGCCATTTCCGGGATTCAAATTTAAAAATTTTCCGTGCCTTCGACACGAGCACCCCCTAATATTTCATAAAGTGTCCACCACTTGCTTAAAAGGTCTTAAAACTGTTTATTCTACCAATAAATAAAGGGGTTTTTATTGACTGGGATTTCAATAACTGGGACTGGGATTTCTAATAAAAATCCAACTGGGACTGGGATTTTGCCAAAATTTCAGGTGGGAAATGGGATTGGAACCCCCCTCCCCCCCCTTCAGGACCCTCTTGTATTGCTAAATTCTAAGTCGACCGAAACTGTTTTTTTAGAGTTTAGATAAATAAAGCCCTGTTTACACTACGCTCAATTTTTGGTACGGCACGGATAAAAATTGGTACCTGTACCACTTTTTTGGTTGTTGGATCACCTATTTAGGTAGTCCAAGAACCAGAATAGTGGGACGGTACCAAAAATCAAGCGTAGTGCATGGTAAACGGGGCTTAAATTTATATGATGTTAATTACGGGAACCACTGAGTATTTTGATAAAATACAAAACAATAGATACTCGGAAAATTGAAAGCATTTTGAAAAATTTATTTAAAGAAATTTATTTGAAATAAATTTTTCAAAATAATTCATTTTGAAATATTTTTTTCAAAATGCTTTCAATTTTCGGAGTATCTATTGTTTTGTAATTTCTAATACTTCGTTAAATATTTCAAATCGACATCGCTTTACAAACACTTTAAATTTCAAAGCGGATTGTGTGGTCGTGAGCCGCGAAATACACGACGTTTACAAAATACGGCCGAGTCGGTAGTTACCAATATTATTGGCTTTCCTATTAGCTACGAGGAGGTGCGTTCAATCTCGAACCCACCTGCTGACGTATGTTTAGGGGGGTTTATCATGAAGTGCACGTGTTTCTAATATGGACATCGCTATGATCTAAACGGCCAATCACACCGGGAGCTCATTGTTGCTGCTAGTGAGAAGGTCAAACGTATTATAATGCGGTCTGATGTCAACCTCCTCAGCCCTCACGCCATGAAAGTTGAACCACATTCAACTTTTTTGGCATGACCTGTATAGAGGAACTGGAGGGGTAAATGGGAACTGGAATTTGCATATTTTTGGACTGGAAAACTGATGGGATTTGGGTTACTGAAAGAGCGCTTTCCATTAGCACGGCTAGACCGGTCAGAACCAGTGGCGTGCTGGCAGGGAGGGGGGGAGGGGGGGCGGGGGGCCACGGCCCACCAGCTGGCAATTTTTGGGGGGCACAAAAATGAGAAGGGGGCGCCGATCCCGCGCCGAATTTTGAAAGTGGGTGGGAAGAAACGCATTCGAACAGACTAAGCGCATAGGCGACAAAGTGAGTATATTAAATTGCAGACTATTTTGTCCAACCGTATTTGCTACCTCACGACTCACATGCACGAAATCACTCGTTCATCAATAGAAACATGATCAGTGATCACACGCAATGTCTCATTACCGGAATATTGATCAGGTTTCGAAGCGATCACGGGAATTATGCCCTTTTTTTCTGGTATTATACCCTTATATTATGCCCTTTATTATGCTTCACGAATCACGAGAGCAACGCAAATTAGATAGTTGAAGTTATGATAATGTAAAGTTGTGTACGCAATTTAGTTGTTTGCGCAAGAAACATCATGAGTAATGTAAGTAATGAGATATAATGCTGAAACGCGCCCTTTTGGCAGCCAGGCAAGGAAACCTTAAAATGCATATGCGTGGGGTCCGTTGTGTTATTGTATAAAAGAGCTGTAAGTTGTCAATGTATTCAGATCAGTGGAGAATAGAATTGGGATTAGATTAATTGCCGTAAGCAGTTAGCATTGCCCAATTTAAGTACTGCTACTAAATTCTAACCAATTTGCAAATTTCGACACCTTGTAATGCCGTTTACTGATCATCAGATTTCTGTCAAATCTTCCCCCAAAGTCCAGGAAATGGCATTGCAGAGACTCTAAATTCAAAACTAGACAATCCTCGCACCTGCGCCTAGACAATCCTCGCACCTGCGGCGCTCGGCTCATGCCTTCGGCCCTCGTTTATCAAGCTAGCGTAATATTGTAGGGGCGCATATTGGTTGCCAGCCGACTGGCCCCCCAGAAAAATAGTAGCCAGCACGCCACTGGTCAGAACGGTCAAAATGTTGAATGGAACACAAAACATTTGGGCTTCGGACCTATCTGACTGGAAAATCTAGATAACATTAGAGTGAGGTCCATTTTCGCTAGACTGTATTTGAGAAACATAGACCAGATCTTTCCATTGATACAGAGAAAAGAATTTGGATCTGACCAGTCAGGCCATTAAATGGAAAGCGCCCAAAGTCAGTGATGACAAAACTGGAAGGGGGCTATTCTCTATAGTCCCCAAAAAATAAAATTTGGGAGCCCCCCCCCACACAAAAAAAAAGAAGAAGAAAAAAGAAAAATGGATAAGATTCCAAATTTTGAATTTAATATATTAAATTGGGCGACAAATGTAAGAGAAAAAATTTGGAAAGATGGAAGAAAACATCAGTAGGGAAACAAACATAAAGTATTACATAAAGATTACAATTCGACTGGGCTTTGTAATTCATTTATTTAAACCAGAGTAGCGAGCGAAACATGATTGATATACCTGGTTGCAGTGAACGAACAAACCTTTAAACATAAAGTAGGAAATATGTCAGGTCTGGAAAAATGTTTGTTCGGAAAAATATTTGTTCGGAAAAATGTTTGTTCCCATAAGGGACCTTTGAAAAAGAGTTGTAAGTTGCAATCTCATTTTGTAAGTCACGTCACAAGTCATTTTGTTGGAGTCCACTCCAAATGAAGTCACGCAACTCAAGTCTGACTCGAGTTCAGGTCGTAATTGTCGCATGATCGCATCTACAATACTCAAATCTCATTTAATAAATTTAATTAAATCTACGTTTCTTTTAAATTTGCACAAGAAATCGTGTTTTTATTATTTATCATACGTTATACGTGTTACAAGTTGTTTATCATTATGCTTTATATATACCACTTGTTTAAAGCGTGACAATCTTTGTAGATGGCGCTTTTGGCATTAGTTTCTATAGAAGTCTAATCCCGCCATGTTCCTGTGTAGGGAGATGGGAATTTCGGTGACAAGTGCATAACGCCTTATAAACATCCTATAGGCGTACGGGAAGGAAAACAATTAAGGGGGCGCACCAGTGAAATATTTTCCCTATGTTGATTAATTAAATTGCTCTATCACATTTGTCGACAATAAAAGGGCACGGTCTGTGGGTTTGGTTATTACAAGTTAACCTCTGCAAAATTATTCCGCTGCAAAAAGTGTGAGCATGTTCGCTAACCGTTGACAGTGCAGATTTTTATTCACCGCTCGCGTACATCGCTATTTTCAACCTCTTGAGGAACGAATTTGTACCAAGTCTGATGACAATGATACAATCTATTTATTTGGAACTCTTAACTGGTTCCATTTAACCTGGCATGCATGCTAACTTGGTTGTCATGAGCAACTGAATTTTGTTGTAATCTACCCGGTCAGCAGTAGTCCGTCAGTGCAAGGCAATCTATAATTTGTTGATAATAATTTTGTAGTCATGAGTAGTCAATATTGTTCTTAAGGCCTCATGGGGATGTACTCATTGAGCACTTTGCAGGTTTAAACATTTGGGCAGTATGCATATGAGTTATTTTTAACCACATGTACAATTCCCTCAATTTAAGCATCTTTGTCATTTTCACACTGCGATTCAAGTATTCGCCGCAACTACCACTAAAGGTCGTTATCCACTTCGGCCGTACGTAACATTGTCTTTTGTTTCGAAGTTATTGATTCTACTCTAGTACTTAATTAAGGTGGAGTAAAACGGTCAACAAAGTTGCTGCAACTTGCAACAAAATCTGATTTCTATGACTATACACATGTCAATTGAAAATGTTTACACATAAAATACAAATCCCGAGGCAATATGGTTATATGTGTCAACATTTCTACTTAATAACATGCGTTGAAATCAGATTTTGTTGCGAGTTGCAGCAATTTTGTTGCTCGCGTATTACTCCAGCTTTACATAAGTGCACGAGACGGGGGTGGAGGCGCAGGGCAATAAGATGGGTGGGGGGATAAAAGGCAAGCAAGAATATTATACAAATTCTAATATGACTTTAAGATGGTAATAAATTCATGTTGTCATTGCAAAATTTTAATTCGATATTCAGAAAAGTTGGGCAAATCTCCCCAAACGTTTTCCCTCCCATACGGCTATCATTGAAGAAATGCGCTATGCTTCCACACGATACGGTAATCGGTTTCGGAAATGGAAAACAGCCTTAATTAAGCCTATGTGTCAAATTGTAGTCGATTTGAATCCATAGCCATGAAGATATATTAAACTACAGAGCCGTCGCGAGGCTCCGAAAATCCGGATCACTGATCAGTTGTCGACACTGAAAACTTGTCTGCAAAAGAAAACTATGGCCATAAATAGAGGTTTTATTGGAAATGTTAAAAAGTAAATTGTTTCCTGCATATATTTTGGGATAACAAAGGTATTTGATAAGAGTGCATCATCTGTCGGTCGGCAAACAAAGTTTCTATTTTAATAGAAGATTTAATAAACTCCCAGCAGTTGACCTGGGGGTAACACGATCTTTGTCCAGTAAGAATTTTGGCGTCAAACGGGTTGATTATATTTGCAGGGCCTCGCAGAGAAATTCGGTGGCCCGTTTTTCTTGTTGTCAGGCTGCGCATTTCTAATTAAAGGCGTGTTGCAGTGACGCAGTCAGGGGGGGGGGCGATTATGTCACTGTACCACATCATGCGTGAATAGCGTGGGACTCAAAATACATATTCGAGTAGTATACAAAGTGGGGGTTCTGGCGCGGGTGGTGCACTAAGCACCACCCATGACATCATTACAGAGTATTTCATGTCATTTACACGCGCTTGTAATGTATTTAAAGATTGTGGGCCAATGATTACTAGTCAAACTTTGGAAGTTGTTATATATAGGGTTAACCTCTCAACTATCCATTAGGTCTGTGTGAATGGCCTAAGAATAAATTTATGTTATGTTATGTTAAAGTCAATGATTAATAGCATTTTAAGAAATTGTTTAAGGGTAAATACTCGCCGAGATATTTATATTAGAAAAATTGTGTCGTAATCTGATGCGAAAGGGGGTGGTCGAAAAAGAGTTAAAGTTTAATACTTTGCTAATATTTGTCCCCACATATATTCCTTCTAACAAACTGAGTGAATTTTAACACCTTCTCGATATATATTCTACTAAAGTTGTTGTAATGCTTGTGGGACGTAGATATTGCACACATGCGTAGTGAGAATTGTCTATTACGAAAATTAATTCCTGACTTATAGGAGTTTGCAAAGATTCGGGGGGAGTGGTAATCTGCACAGAATATCCCAGTTTATTCAAAATTCCCCAAAAACATAAACGACAATAGAAATAGAGTATAAAAGGTGTATTTCAATTCATCGTATTACAAGGTTTTATTTGATTATCTTAGAGTGTCCACTACTTTAACACCATCCTTGGTCTTACCTGGGGATGTATTCACCATGTTTAGGACTATTAAACATGGAATAATAAAAATCCAGACATACATATGAAAATTTTTAAACAGAACTAAGAGTTGCTAAGCCCAAGTTAAAATCGTTGTCAACGCCGTTGTTTTGGTCGATATTTGCATATTACAGAGTCATTAAAAAGTGATTAACCTGTCAACCCCGTGTGGATATATACAATTTTTTTATTTCACCCAGCGAGCTTGAGACAGGAAAAATATATTAAAGAACAGAGAGTTATTACAGATTATATGCGAGATATATCGAAATTTTGTCGTTTGTGGCTCTCTAAAACACATACCGCCAAAGTCATTAACAGTCATTAATGGATTACAAGCAAAACTTTAATCTCTTAAGTGCTTATTACGGATAGATAGGGATTATTTATTACCTTAAAATCGGGCGCGTGGCTTTGCAGGCAAAAGTTCGCACAAGGTTTCACTTTTAAAATACATTTATTTCTTCAAAATATTTTACAAAGTTATGCTTCTAATATATATCTTCACTTTTTTAAGATGTTTCACTATCCGATTCGCCATCGTGGCTGCTAATTTTATCAACTGAGATATTGATATCCAAAGATACTGTGTGATATCCTAAGATACTGTATGATATCCTAAGATATTGTATGATATCAATAAGATACTGTATGATATCCTAAGATGCTGTATGATATCCTAAGGTATTGCAATTATGATACTGCATTATATACTATGGTATAGGTATCCTACGATAATATATTCAATTATTCAATCTATGATTAAATTATTTAATCTATGATTCAATCCTATGATTCAATCTATAATTCAATTATTCAATCCTATGATTCAATGATTAAATCTTATGATTCAATGATTCAATCCTATGATTCAATGATTCAATCCTATGATTCAATGATTCACTCTATGATCCAATGATTCGCTTTATGATTCAATGATTCAATCTTATGATTCAATGATTCAATCTTATGATTCAATGATTCAATCTTATGATTCAATTATTCACAGAGGAGGAGAGGCTCCATAGGCTCGGAGCGGAGCTCCCTAGGCTCGGAGCCGAGCTCCTTAGGCTCGAAGCCAGCTCCTTAGGCTCGGAGCAGAGCTCCCTAGGCTCGCAGCCAGCTCCATAGGTTCGGAGGTTCGCTCCATAGGCTCGGAGCCAGCTCCATAGGTTCGGAGCCGAGCTCCATAGGCTCGGAGCCGAGCTCCTTAGGCTCGGAGCCGAGCTCCTTAGATTCCTCAATGATTCAATCCTATGATTCAATCCTATGATTCAATCCTATGATTCAATCCTATGATTCAATCCTATGATTCAATGATTCACTCTATGATTCAATGATTCAATCCTATGATTCAATGATTCAATCTTATGATTCGATGATTCAATCTTATGATTCAATGATTCAATCTTATGATTCAATGACTGACTCTGTGAATCATTGAATCATAATATTGAATCATTGAATCATAGAGTGAGTCATTGAATCATAAGATTGAATCATTGAATCATAGGATTGAATCATAGGATTGAATCATAGGATTGAATCATAGGATTGAATCATTGAGGAATCTAAGGAGCTCGGCTCCGAGCCTATGGAGCTCGGCTCCGAACCTATGGAGCTGGCTCCGAGCCTAGGGAGCGAACCTCCGAACCTCCGAGCCTCCGAACCTGTGGAGCTGGCTGCGAGCCTAGGGAGCTCTGCTCCGAGCCTAAGGAGCTGGCTTCGAGCCTAAGGAGCTCGGCTCCGAGCCTAGGGAGCTCCGCTTCGAGCCTAAGGAACTGGCTCCGAGCCTATGGAGCCTCTGCTCCTCTGTGAATCATTGAATCATAAGATGGAATCATTGAATCATAAGCGTGAATCATTGAATCATAAGATTGAATCATTTAATCATAGAGTGAGTCATTGAATCATAAGATTGAATCATTGAATCATAATATTTAATCATTGAATCATAGGATTGAATCATTGAATCATAGATTGAATCATAGGATTGAATCATTGAATCATAGGTTGAATCATTTCATTAATCATAGATTGAATCATATATTGAATATATTATCGTAGGATACCTATACCATAGTATATAATGCAGTATCATAATTGCAATACCTTAGGATATATCATACAGCATCTTAGGATATCATACAGTATCTTAATAATATCATACAATATCTTAGGATATCATACAGTATCTTAGGATATCACACAGTATCTTAGGATATCAATATCTCAGTTGATGCAATTAGCAGACACGATGGCGAATCGGATAGTGAAACATTTCAAAAAAGTGAAGATATATATTAGAAGCATAACTTTGTAAAATATTTTGAAGAAATAAATGTATTTTAAAAGTGAAACCTTGTGCGAACTTTTGCCTGCAAAGCCACGCGCTCGATTTTAAGGTAATAAATAATCCCTATCTATCCATAATAAGCACTTAAGAGATTAAAGTTTTGCTTGTAACCATTAATGACTGTTAATGACTTTGGCGGTATGTGTTTTAGAGAGCCACAAACGACAAAATTTCGATATATCTCGCATATAATCTGTAATAACTCTCTGTTCTTTAATATATTTTTCCTGTCTCAAGCTCGCTGGGTGAAATAAGAAAAATTGCATATATCCTCACGGGGTTGACGGGTTAATCACTTTTTAATGACTCTGTAATATGCAAATATCGACCAAAACAACGGCGTTGACAACGATTTTAACTTGGGCTTAGCAACTCTTAGTTCTGTTTAAAAATTTTCATATGTATGTCTGAAAATGGG